ATAACGATACAATTTCTAATTTAATTGCCATTTTCGAAAGCTGTTTTACAATTATTGTTTTATAAGATATAGCTGGATAAATCTGTTTTAAGGGTAGTATACATGTTAAAGGACTACCTTATTCTATTGTTTAATTTAACTGTTATCACAACGCAAATAAATATTCCTTTGAGTATACAGTACACATTCTAAAATAAATTTCATAATTTATTGTTAGATAACTAGGAATTTAATTTTTTTTTTTTTTTTTATCGAAATGAAGAAGTAAAATTTGTAAAATTGGTATGCAAAAATAAAATAAATATAAAATGGTTTGGCTTAGGCTTTTGTAAATTACAAGTATAAAAATATAATTAGTTTATAAAAGTGTATTTTGCATTAAAAATATATATTATATATTATTAGGTATTTAATTTCGATTTTTAAATTTTGCAGAGCAATTCTATGCATATTTTATCTGTTTATATTAAATATTATAATTAAAATAACACTTAAAGAATTTTCATAATTTATTTAATTTTAATTATTGATCATGATCTAAATAACCATATGTGTTTACAAAATGTATAAATTTCTATCACTGATATAACTTCAAAATAAAAATGCTAAATGCTATTTTTTAGAGTACAGACAGTTGTTAAGAACCTTAATTACTCTGCTTTTAATGAAACACATATCAGTGTCATAATATTACAATTCATAATTAGAAGAAAATCAAAACTGGATATATATTTGTGTGTTGTCCTGTAGGATATAGTCTATAATGTATTAGATGAAATGATAAAACTGCGTTAGAAAAATTTCTTTTACTTCGTATCTATAACAATGATTCATTATAAACACATATCTGTTGGATCATAAAATAATCAAAGTGAAAAATACGTTATTCTACCGGGGTTAACATATGCATGTAAGTATTCATATATGATTGGATTGAATTAGGAACAAATAAACGTAATAATTGTATATCTATATAAAGTAAAAGTTTTATTTTTCATCTCATTATGTCAAAAAAAAAATAATGGAATTGTTTTAATGAATATATCACAATATGCTATAAATAAAATGTCTAATTTCATACAAATATATAATTTACTTAAATAATATTTGCTCATTAGTGTGTTTTCATGTTACATGAAATATGGTAGTTTGTATTTTGTAAATTTACAAATTATAATTAGGAAAACATAAAACTTGTATAATAAAACGACTGTTAAAATATTATCGTAAAAGAGAAGAAACAGCTAAGTGAATATATCTATTAATAAAATCACATTATACAGATTTTACTTTTTACGCTATATTTTTTAATTACATTCAATGTGTCTATTAATAAAATATATTATTTTACGCTTATAGACTTTGCGTGTATAATATACAATATAATATACTATTCATAACCTAGTTATCTAACTTATGTATTTAAAATAACATTTTTATTACATTTTATATTCTAAAATAAACTTAACAGTAAATGTATGGCATTATTTCAAAACGACATTGGGTAGAATATTAAATTCACTAGTTGTTCTCGTGTGGGTGAGATAAACATGAAGTAGGTAATCATATTTTCATCCTTGAAATATACTTTAAAAGGTTGTAACTTTTAGGAAATGTGGCACACTTGAATGTTTTTCTTATATTTTCAACCAAATACATTTTTTTGGTTACCAGAAATTTCTTATCCCCCTCGTATATCACTTACGCCGTTAGCAGCTTCAAAAGTGAATTAAAAATTACATTAAAAATACGTTGAATCAAAATAAATGGGTATTTAGTATAATAACATATATTATATATTTGTATTGATTATCATCATTTACAGTAAGTCCTCGTTTAACGTTGCCTCATTTAGCGTTGTTTCGCTATTGCGTCGCAGAAGTTTAAGTCCTTATGTTTCGTTTAACACTATTACGGATTCAGTATAACGTCGCTTGAAATACTTGTGTTCATCAAATTATTGTTATATTTATATAAATTTCATATAAAAGTATGAAATTCAATATGGTCGACCTTTTTCAGATAGTACATAATGTTATCGTTTTTATTGACATATTTATTATACAAGAGTACAATTTGTTTTATTTTAATTAATACTATGTACTTATTAATCGTTTTTCAATTTATTGATGGTCAGTTATTAAACGACACTTTTTGCAGTCTTTTTTGCTATCTGTGCAAATACGAATTATTTAAGTGTTGCATAGTATTTGTTAATCAATAAATTAATAATAAAGAATAAAATAATTAAATCGTGCAATTATAATAAATATAATAATACATACATCATACATTGTTATTTATTGGCAGGAACCCATTATAATAAAGTGTATGCAAAAAGTGTTTCACTTAACGTTATTTTGGGTAACATTGTGATTTCCAGGAACCTAACCTCGATGTTAAACGAGGACTTACTGTATTACTAAATCTCTAGATAAATATTAAACTAATGCAATATTGAACATTTTACGAAGATGTAAATTATATGTTAAATTATTCCTTTATCTACTATCGGAAGATACAATTAATTAATGACAAACGATTTTCCATGTGCTCGCATGATATATAAGTATAATACTAAATAATCAAACTACTAACAAAATGGGAGCTAAACGTAGTAGAAGACTTTCATTTAAAACTACGATAAAACTAATCACCAATCAGAGAAGAATAATTCACAAAATTACGGTATCACTATCACATTGTCGCGTATTGTAATATTGTTTAATAAAACTATTGATACCTAGCTTGAGATATATTTGAAATGTTTATAAAATTGTTGCTCATCGGTTTCTTTTTTCGGAAATATAGCCGATAAGTTCGATAACGAACGTAAAGTGCATTATGTTCACAAGTATATTTGTATTAAATTATACTATATTCTCCATCTCCCAGTCCTTTTAGCCGTGTATATTAGTAAATATTTCGTGGACTCAATGCCTCTGATCGTCTTATAATGGATATATTATACGTTTGTAGATGTACATATTATATTGGTTCGTACACGTATTCAAATTGTACATTCAAATTCCTACGCTTTTACTGGGTCAGAAAAAAACCCTTTATACCGTGTATTTGGATCGATAAAATCCCTACTTCACCAAACTTTTCCTTTTTATTATTGCCTGTCGGTTGTCTAGTGTATTTTGTATATAACCCCCTCGTATAGTTCTAAATCCTTTTTCTGTGGCTAATACCTTTTACAAGTATATTGTTTGTAATATTTCCTATATTTGTGCTTAACGAAATATCTAAGAAAATAATGCGAACTCTCAATTTATATTTTTTTGTTTTATCTAAAAATAAAAAATATACATGTCATATAACGTATATATTTAATATTTATACATACATTACGTTTAGATATTAAAATAAAAACGGACAGTTGTTCTCATTAAATTTGTTTTTGTACGTATATCCCGCATTTTTTAATAAAGGTATTTACAAAATAATATTAAAAGCCAAGTTTTAAACGTAAAACATTTTGTTGTAGAGGTTGCAGTTAATTTCCATACATATTTTTATTTACGATCTAAATGAAACTATTAAATGCAAAAAGTGTCACGCATATAGAATTGAATATTCAATGGGTGGCTGGACCTTTTTGCCAACGGATCTAAAAAGTCTAATTAATTTAGTTTATAATTAATGCTGTTTCTTATTTTTAACTATCTCAACTTCATCATTACGGGACAATTTTTTAAAGACTACTGCTCACAAACCTTTATTTAGATTATTCGACTTAATATGATTATATTAATATGTGTACATGTATGATAAACATAAAATAATATTACTCTCCTGTAATATAATTGTATAGTTTTCCACATGCATCTTATGTATCGTATATATTTGTGTACAATAAAGTAATTTAATAATGTAACATTAAAAACGCATTAAGAATGGGTATAATCACATATTTTTGAATATTATAAATTATTTTATGATAAAAATCAAGCTATTCTAATTATTTTTTGATGATAATTTTTTTAGTTTCTTAATGATTAATAAAATTTGATTTCAATTTTTAGTTTACTTATAAAAAAAAAAAAATTAAAAAAAAACATTAGCAATAAATAAAATAATTATTATAAGTATATAGTTTTATTTTGCAACCAGAACTATCATATTGTTAAGAATAAGATGAGACATTATATTTAATGATAATAGTATGGTGATAGTATTATAGTCCACCTCGTTTAATTAGCAATAAATATTATTTTCGTATTACAATTAGCTATAGTTTGATTTGCTATCAGAGAATAGGAAATTACGAGTATTATTAAGGACATGTATCAACCAAATAAAAAACAAAAACGAAACCATATCATTGCTGTGTGTATTTATGAACTTCAAATGAAAAATAATCATACAGTTAATACATACATACGTCCATAAAATGTATAAATGGTTAATTTTTTCGTACAATTGAATGTATTATAATTTAAATTACGTTTAATAAAATTATAATATTAAAAAACCCAACAAAATGATATAGAAAAACTAATATTTATTTATGAATTATCAAAATAATAATGCAAGAGGTATAATAATGGATTAATAAGAGATATTTAATATATAATAACATAATTTCTATTTTTATAATTTGTAATTAACTTACTCATAATCATTTTCTATCTGGAATATTTAGTATTGTACTTATTTTTTATGAATACCCGTTTTATTTTCAAAATTCAAATCACTATTAGTGTATTGCATTAATGAGGGGAAAAGTAATGATAACTATTCATCCAAATTATTATTTTAATATTTGCATAATAAAAATCGGTACATGAATTATTTATAATAATAATTAGAGGTTTTATGTATATTTAAGTTTGGTAAATGTTTAGACAGGAATAATATCAATAATTAACAACTATTTTAAATTAAAAATATTGTTAATTATTAAAATTTTAATCAAACAAAGTAATTGTTTAATATCTCATCAGACCAATAATTTGGTCATTCAGCACATATATAAGCTAGTTCGAATATTGTCTAATTCATCACTTATTTAGATAACACCATCATAACTAATCGTAAGTTCTATAATATAACAATTTCATCATAGCCATGAAAATAATTTTTGTAATCTCAACAACCATTATAAGCGTAAGTGTAACGATGACATTTTATATTATTGATATTATATGAATTATTATTTTTGTAACAAATTTAAATTAAATTCTAAATACTATTATAGTTATTAAAATAAAATCAAAACATTTATAATGAAAATTTACTTTCGTATTTGATATATATATTTTAAAATTGTGAAATAAAAAAATTAATTGAACGTAAATGTAAAATTTGTGAGATTATTTTGTATCATCTACTGTATCATCGTTTTTTGATATATTAATATAATAATAATTATGATTTATGTATAATATATATTTATACTTGATATAACTTTCTTTATTATTTATTAAATTAAAATAAGTAATTAATCTTTTATACATTTTCTATTCTATTGAACAAGATATGAAGTTATTCGAAAATAAAAAAAAATATTAGCCATATTTAAAATATAAATTTTTTATAAAACTACTAAAAACATATATCGAATAGCAAATATATATAATACATATAGCCATATATAAGTCGACATTTATTAGTTAGGTCCCACAATGTTTTCTTATAAGTACTACTCTAATTGGGTCCATACAAAAAAAAATTTCACTTCTCATTTTCACAGACTTAGAACTGTCAGTTACCTATAAATTAGAACACAGGAATGATTTTTTTTTTTTTAAGTTTCTAATATATGGTATATAATTATTAATTGGAAATTAGAATACTGGTATATAGTAAATAAATAAATAAAATCATTAAACAATTTATAAATTTACATAATTAGTAAAAATTTAAACGATAAAGCTTTTATGAATTCAAATCTACTAATATTTTAATATTATCAAGTGTATTCAATACTTGTAAGTTACAGGTCTTATTGTCGTAGTGGTTCGGACCGAAATAGTATGTTATGCTTTTTGTAGGTGGACCATGATTATTTTTATTATCAGACCCTATTAGTTGTTTATCTTAATCATAAATATTATTTGGGATCCTTATAGGCTAATCATAAAATAATTGAATATTTTCTATATAAAAATTTTAATTTTACTCTTTGGCGGTTTATCATTCACATTTATACAACAAAAGAATATTTTATTTTCTTTCTTTGGTTTTCATTTTAATGATATTATTTTTAAATTATTAATTTTTTAATAAAGAAAGTACACATCAAAATATTTAAAATCATTTTTTTTCCAACCTAATAAATAAATGTATAGAATTGATGAAACTTAAAAAATACTTAATTCATATTTTATTTTACATGCATTTCAATAAATTATACCACAGTTATTTTATCAGAAAATTAAATAACAATTCATTATAATCTGATGAAAAACTATGAAATATAATAAAATACAGTAATTACATTTTACATGACTTTATTCAAGTGGTTTTAGATTATACAAAGACTATGATTTAACATAGATTTTTTTTTTTTGCTGTGATAATTTTTGATGTAATTTTATTTTTTGTATTATATTCTAGGTGGTTTTGGGCTTAGATTTGACCAAAAGTACTGTAACTGATGGGAAATTATTTAGAAGAAATATATTCCAGGATGCATCTAAGACAGCACCCGGAGTGGATTGTGCAAATATAGTGGGTAGTAATAAGGCTGTAGATAGCGCTGCAGCAGTAAATTCTGCTGCAACAAATAGTGCTTCAAAAACGACTAATGGTGCAAAGAACACAGCTGGAATGATGAAACCAAATGAAATACAACAGGGAGGAGTATCTACTGCCACTGGTATAGCTTCTACTGCAACTGGATGCGCTAGTATAATGAAACGAGACACATATAGTCAACCATCATTAAATAAACAATGCAAGTTGGTAAGTAGCCTGTTATTTATAAGGTATTTATATCACTGGTAGAATCGTACATATTTCTTTATATTTTCCTCTATCACATCACACTAACATTTCCTCTGATAGTGTGATCATTCTAAGTTACTGACATCCTACAACAGAATCCTAAAAATTATGTTAGGACTTTGCTCATCATAATGTTTAATTCACCTATACAATACATTTAGAATATTTAATAAATTGACTTTTTTTGTTGGAGATCACTATCTTGTTTTAGCAAGAATTAATTTACACACTTCATTGCAAATTTAAGCTTACTCTGAAATAATATTATAATTAATTATTTAATAGTATCAATATTTTTATTCCTAGATATTACTGTATAAAATAATAAATCACACTTTAATATATTTATTTATCTTTTTGTAATTGTATACTGTACTGCACTTAGTTCTTCTGAATCTAAGTCAAATTCGAATGAAGTAAGCGGAACAATGGACTTATTTTATTTTTATTCCTATTAATAATTATCGATATTTTTTGTATTTATTTATTATTTCTACTCATTTAGAATAAGGAACAAAGTATTTCGTCATCGGATGCATCACTTGATGAGGTTGAAATTAAAAACGGAAAAGAAACGGTAATTTTAAAAATTTTGTTTGAGCGAACTAGAGTATTACAAATATAGTTGATTATTATTTTTTTCATATAATATAGCATCATAATAATAGTTGGCTTGAAATTTTTAATTTTTAAATTTTCTTAAAAATTCAACGAATTAAATATTGTTTTGTTATTAATTCTAATTAAACATTTTTTTTGCGGTGACTCAAAAAAAAAAAAAAAAATAACAAAAAATATGGAAAAGTGATTTGAAATAATTAAAATGAACAGATCTATACCGACATTGTAACAAAAGGTGCAAATAAATAAATAATATATTGCAATTTTACATATGAATTCTTTTGTCAGTTTCGTCTCATGCGTTCAATATTATCAAACAAAAAATTATTAATCATTATTTTATTATAAGAATAAAATAATTTTTTGTTTAATTAGGAAAAAGTAATTGATAAATCATTGAATTCCGCGGCAGAAGTACAATGTTCTTCTAACGACGAGATTAACAAATCGGTAAATACTTTTATTTTTTATGATACTACGTTTTATTATATAATACAATGAACATTAAATATCAATTAATATAAAAAAATGTTATTATTTCACTATGGTATTGTTTTATTTATTTAGGTAAATAAAAATAGCGAATCTTCGTCTTCATCATCTGACTGCGGATGTGAGAAAATCGGTGAATCAGTAAATAATAATATCCAGTGATTAATATTTGATACTCACCATTTTGTATCAAAAGGCGAAAATAACTATCGTTTTTAAATTTAAATTAAAATATAAAGCATTTAATTTATAAAGTCAAATGTTTATTTAGAACTGTTTATTTGAATTGTCTATCAAGAATCGTATTATATAATCGTATGATATATTACTAAAATATTCAATAAACGTATATTGATTGTTAATAATATTTTTTATTTTATTTACCATTGATATATTACATATCCTACACATTATTAAATTAGGGATTCGAATTTTAAATTTATTTATAGGAAGAGTACTAGTCATGAAAAACACTCAGGTTCTCATTTAGGGTGGCAAACAAGAAAATTTATGGTAAATATTAATTTCTTGAATAGACACGATAATGATAGAAATATTATTTATCGATAGATTTCTTATACCAAATTGTAATATAAAAGTGAATTTTTTTATTCAGAAAAAGGACAGTCTTCATCGATTTCATAATTTATTGAAGGATGCTATAATATTATAGAAAAAACAGTCAATTACAATATTTGCTGACTTTATTTAATTTTATTAACTTTACTTAAGTACATCATTTTTAATTAAAAAATATATAAAATGTCAAACACTGTAGAGAAAATAACTAATTTATGAATTTGAAACAAAAAAATGTTTAAGTATACAGCTTCATGAAAATAATTAAAAGGTTAACAACAATTACTAAGTATATTAATCTAAAAAAGTATGTAATAAAACCAACTATTCTACAATATAATAAAAATTATAAGAACAAATGTATGTATGTATGTAAGTACATACACTTGAATGAAGGATTATTAATAATGTTACAAATGGGGTGTAAATTTAAATGTATTATAAGAAATTATAAGACAAATAGTATGATATTGCACTATTTCAAATAAAATACACTACTATAATTGATCATTTTGGCATATTAAATTCGTCTATTCCTCGAAACCGCACACTTTTATAAGGTTAAAACAGTAATAAGTTAAAACCACACAAGTCTTAAAATGTTTATATTCAATAACCGCACACTTATGATTTAGATCCCAATTATGATTTATTAAAATAAAAAAAATGATTCAAAAAATTAAAGTATAAATTTTAAAGATTTTTTTATTTTTATTTATAAAGCTATAGCAAATTATATTTCATTATAACTTAAAATGAGATTAGTTTGTCTGCACAATAGCAACATTTATAAATATGATAAAAAATTGTTGAATAATGAGTGAAACATTATTATAAATGAAACTTTTGCGTAAAATCTCAGTTAAGAGGGACATTAATGGACCAATTACAGAATTTAATTTATAAATTAATTTTGATACCATGTTTGAAACGATGTTTAGTGAATAATTGTGAAAAGTAACGGCTTCAGCATAAGATTTATGCCAAAGTTGAGCACAGATTTCTTGGAACTCGTTTGACGGAGTCTATGTAGATGTTTTGTGGATTTGATTTCTGTTGGACCGAGGTCTCTTGTTATAATACGATTTGAACTGTTTATACAACGGGCAGCCTTTAAAATTAGCGTGTGAGTACCGAAACATAGAGCACACTTAGCTGGTTAAAAATATCTTAAATGTAAAATGTTCAAAGTTTGACTGGCTAAAATTGATTGCCAACGCTTAAATTTTTAAACAACATGTTGAATTTTAGTTTAAATTGTTTCCACCGGTTTATGTTTATGGAGATTTTATATTGTAGTACGTTATTCATTCGACTGCATGTTATAATCGTTTACGTACAATTTTCAATAAATCACCACCAAACCATAGCATATAATTACTATAAACTCCAAATTATTTACACTTAAAATTGTAAAATAATAAACATCTTTCCGCTGAATTACTATCAATAATTTTAATATCCATTAAAATGCAAAAATTTACTTACACATTAATCGCTTCATAGGTTACATAAGACTGATAAATAACGAGTGGCAATTAAAGACTAAAAACGTGCAGTTTCCTATCTGCGGCTGGCCACGTACGACTGAGCGCAACGACTAGTCGTAACTATTGATCTATATTCAAACTGCAAACGTGGTTTCCAATATGCGATCGACACGTGCGTGTCGAAAATAGTCGTTGCGGCTCGCGACTGTCGTGATCCGATAGTGCAGTACTGTTGATCAGTCACATGCGTGTTTTAATCAACTGTTTATTATTTGTTTAATTCATGACATGTTTAACACAATAATTATGCCAAAAAAGTAAAGTCGCATTTAGAAAACCAGCCGGTACGCAGCGTTCAGTAATTGCGTCTAGTCGTTGCGGTCACTCGTTGTGGCCAGCCGCAGATAGAAAACCGTACCTTTAACATGATTATTGAATAGCAGTTTATTTTTGGAATATTATATTGGAATAATATTTTGGAATATTTATACATAGTTATATTTCTGAACCTGATTTTTATAGAATAAGTTATACAAATTTTTTTTTATTTTTACTCTGCATTGTGTATTAAAATAAGAGCAGATACGAATATTTGTATAAATAAATTTTATAATTTTATTTGTATTGCCCACGTTAGGAATCCATAAATATGTTAATGGATTGTATCTATTATCAAAATCTAGAAGATAATTAAACGAATCCATTAAACATATAAGTTTATATCTTACATGCATTTTAGAACATTACTATGTTAGTACAGTGAGTAAAAAATAAATCAATAAAATGGTAAATAAAAATATTTTAATAGTTATCATAACTTTAATAGTATTATTTTAAGAAAATGACTTATTATTTTATTTTATAAATTACAATAATTGTTATAAATAATACTATATTTATGTTAATAAGATAACCAAATTTGTATAATTTAGAGTTATACTGGGTGTTCATAGTGTTCGATTGTGGAAAAAATCGAAAAGCAGAACACAAATGAAGATGTTCCTCTTTATAAACAGCATTTCATCTGATATTTTGTTTAATAATATTTACTAATGTGATATCACAAAGGAATTGCATATATTGAATCATAATTACAGTTACAATTTCCTAATAGATTTGTATTTTATTTATTTATTACATTTTTATATCAAACAAATCGTTGTTTATTATAATATTTTTTTTATTTTTTGGCTTAGTACAGGCCATTAAGGCCCTTTCCCACAACTACCACATATTTCCATCGTTCTCTATCCTTTGCCATCTCTTCCGGATTCTCAACTCCTATTAGCCTTAGGTCTTAATGTACACGGTCACTCCATCGTTGTATCGGTCGGTCGGAGGGTCTCTTTTTGTTTGGTTTCCATTATGTTATTTTATTTAATATTTTTCCTTTAGCACGCCAGACATGTCCTGCCCATCCGATTCTTTTGCTCTTTATTACTGCTACTATGTTCGGTTGGTTGTATAGTTCATATAAGTCATCATTAGTTCTATGCTTAAATTCATTGGTTTCCTCATTCTTTTTAGGGCCAAATATTTTTCTTAGTACTTTCCTTTCGAATAGCTTTAGCTTTTTTTCATCTGTTTTTGTTGAGGCCATACTTTACATGCGTACAAAGCAATAGGTCTGAAAAGTACTTATATTGTTATTTTCGACTTTTTGGAGAGGATTCTAAATTTAAAAAGTGGTCTTAGTATTCAAAAACATTTATTAGCTGCAGTTATTCTTCTTTGTATTTCATTGTGTCCACCATTAGTTGTGTCCAGTCCTACTCCAAGGTATTGAAAAGTTTCTACTCTTTCAAATCTCAATTTTCCAACTACTAATTCTGTTTGGTTGTGAATTCTGCGTGATAATATCATATATTTTGACTTGCTCTCATTGATTAATAATCCCATATCTTTACTTTTTTCTATTAGATCTAATGTTGTTGCTTTTAGATTCGCTTTCGATTCAGTTGCTACCATAATAGCATCTGCATATGCGACTATCGTTACTTCTGTGTTTTCCTGGATTTTCACCCCTGTGTTGGATTCTAGAATAGCTATTTCCACATATTCTAGTGATATATTAAGAAGCATAGGAGATAGTGCACCACCTTGTCTTAAACCATTTTCTACACTGAATTTTTCTGATATTTGCTGATTATATCTGATCCTACATTTTGAATTTTTAGTGAAGGTTTGTATTCATTTTACCATTTTCTCCGGGATCCCAAATTTCAGCATCACAGACCACGAGGATTTTCTGGTGATTGAGTCATAAACTTGTTTGTAGTCAATAAAAAGGATAAATAAGTCTTAATTGAATTCTTAGCTTTTCTCCATTAGTTGTTTTGCTATGTGAATTTTGGTCCAATGTAAATTTTTCTTTAGTGAATTCTGCTTGGTACTCTCCTATTATATCTTTTGTATAAGGTATTAGCCTGTTTAATAATATATTGGATAGTTTCTTATTAGCTGCGCAGAGTAATATTCCCCTATAATTTCTGCAATTCAAAGCATCTCCTCCTGGAGATTTTCCATTTTTGAGTATTTGTATGACCCTCTCTACCTCTTCATCTATTGGTTCGATTAGATCTTGTTTTATTATAATATCTGGTTCTGGTATTACTGTTGTCCTATTCTTCATGTTTAGTAATTCTGCAGAGGTGCTATTAAATTTGTTGACTACTTCGTTCGGGCTTGTTATAAATGTTCTATTTTTTACTATAGCTTTCTTCTGTTTGAAACCTATCTTAATCTCGTTTGCTCCTCTGAAGAAAATTTTTGGGTTACTTCTGTAATTGTTTTCAATTAGTTCAATTTTGTGTTTTTTCCATTGTCTTTTCTTTGTTCTCAGGGTCTTTTTTGCTTCTCGTTGCATATTAGCCAATTTGATTTAATTTTATTTGTTTGGATCATTATGAGGTGAGCCCTATCTCGTTCTTCTAAAGCCTTCTTTCAGTCCTCGTCAAACCATTTAATCTTTTTCTTTTCTTTTCTTTGAAGACCCATTGTTTTCTTCGCTGTGCTTTTTAATATTTGTTCTAAGTTTGCCCATAGAGTGTCAGCATTATCTTCCGTTGTTTTTTTTTGTTTTTGTATGTTTTGTGCAATATTTTCTCTGAAGTTCTTGGCTATTTCTGGATTTTCTAGTTCTTTCTTGGATTTTCTTATGTATTAAACTGCTTTTTAAACATTTTTCCTTCCCTCTTTCTAATCTTATTATTATCTTGCTAATCTTATTTTGATTTTGATCTTTGCTAAAAAATGGTTCGAACTATCACTTACTCCCCTGTAACTTATTACATCCA